TTGTTTTGCTTGATGTTTTGCTTATGAGTTTATTGTGTATTGTATGTTGTTGTTGTCGGCGGCCTTGGCCTTTGTAAGCCGCATCGAGTCCTTCGGGAGATTTTGAGGGGTATAAATAAAGATAATAATAATAATAATAATAATAATAATAATAATAATAAGGGCTGGGCGGTTTCGTTTCGTTAATTCGTAATTCGTTAATAATTCGTTAATTTTTTCAATTACAAAACGATAACGAACCATTCTGGAGCAATTATTTAAAAAAACGAATTTTCAAAAACGTTTTGTAAATGCTTCGTATTTCGATATTGTATTCGTTTCGTTATTGTTTTGAGGTCGTTTCGTTATTATTTCCGCATGTCTGGGCCAGTTTTATGGTTTAATTAGTGAAAAAAAATTATAATATCACACCAACAGTCAACAACAGAGGGAGAGGGAAGCTTCAGAAGGTTTTGGAGGTTTTTTAGCCTATTTCGCGGTCGCGTCCGCCATTAACGAATCGATTCGTTATTGTTTCGGAAATCGATTCGTTAATTTTTTACCATTTACGAAATTTCGTAAATATCGAACTTTTTAAAAGGAAAATTTTGTAATTATTTTAAATATCGAAACAAAAAAAACCCCAAATACAAATCGATTTTAGAAACAAATTTTTCCGTTGTTACCCAGGCCTAATAGTTACCTCTAGGCTGGATTACTGCAATGCGCTCTATGTGGGGCTTCCCTTGAAGACGGTCCAGAAATTACAACTCGTCCAACGCTCGGCAGCCAGATTAATAACTGGGGCAACTTACAGGGAGCGGTCAACCCCCTGCCATTCATTTTCCGGTCCCAATTCAAGGTACAGGTTCTCACCTATAAAGCCCTAAACGGTTTGGGACCTGCCTACCTTCGTGACCATATCTCTCTCCATGAACCAGCCCAAGCACTTGGATCTTCGGGGGAGGCTCTTCTTTCACCCTTGCCAGTTTCTCAGTCTTGCCTTGTGGGTACAAGGGAGAGAGCCTCCTCTGTGGCCCCCCGACTCTGGAACTCATTGCCCAGAGAGATTAGGAAAGCCCCCACCTTAGAAAGCTTTAAAAAGAATCTCAAAACCTGGCTCTGCCGCTGCGCTTTTGGAGAGTAGCCATACCACCTTATGCTACCGCTTCCTTCAACGCTTTTGTCCTTGGAGTACACCTTCCCCTTGTACGAAGGCCTGTTTTCTACCCCGTTTCCCTATGAACTCTCCCTTGCAAATGATCTGCTCCTTTTATCTCACCCTGAGTTTTTTAAACATTTTATTGTACATGTGGCTCGCTCACTGTTATTGTAATTGTTCATTGCATTCTTATGTTTTGTTTCCATTGCTTATTGTATTTATCTTTTTTTTTGTATTTTACTGTGTTGTTGCTTGCGTTTTGGTTTTATTGTATTGTATTTTACTGTATTGTAATTTGCCGTTTGGGCTTGGCCTCATGTAAGCCGCCCCAAGTCCCCATTGGGGGAGATAATAATAATAATAATAATAATAATAATAATAATAATAATAATAATAATTTATTTATTTATTTACAGCTTTTATATTCTGCCCTTCTCCTCACCCCGCAGGGGACTCAGGGCGGATTACAGTGTACACATATATGGCAAACATTCAATGCCAATTTGACATACAACATATACAGACATAGACAGAGGCTATTTAACTTTTTCTGGCCGCCAGGGGAGCTGTCGCTTTCATCGTCCATCTGCGATGCTGATGAAGTACTTCTGCATTCCCCGCATGCTTTTTGTTGGAATGCTTGCTGGAGTCTTTTTTTTAATGGCCTCATAAATTAGTTAATTTAGCCTCCCCACACTTTAAGGTGGTATCTAATTTTCCTACTTGAGAGATGCAACTGTCTTTCGGGTTGCAAAGGTCGACAACAGGCTACACAATGGTTGGAAACCGACTCCAACCCGGGCTGGCTTCTGTCCTGACGTGAACACAACGATGGACAG